GGAACATGTTTGGGGCATTTTCATCATGAGCTGTAAGCCATAATCATCACAATTATGACAAATCACGGCTTGAACTATCTTGCTTTCAATGTAATGAGTCTATCTCATATATATTAGTTTCACCTTTTAAGTTGCATTACTGAAATAAATTGGAACTTTTGCACGATATTCTAATTTTTTGAGTTTCACCTGTATGTGTAACAATTCCTCTACTTCAATGTTGCCCAGGAAAGTCAAAGGGTTGGACAAATCCCTACTTTACTTGAGATTGTTGATATTTTGGGTAGTTAACATAGGGCCTGTACGTCTCTCCTTTTAACTGTAGGCCTGCTTTAATGTCCACCACAGTTACTTCCAATTATACAATAGGTGCTATCAATTTGTAACAAAAATGTTAACAAGGTGCTGCTCTCAAAGTGCATTTTTCTCACAAGAACTTTTGATATTCTAATTTTTTAACCAATACATTGTAAATGGACAATGGGTTCTAATAGTAGGCCTGTGTGACTTCTAATATGATTTCAAACCTGTGTTCCCGTCCAGACCAATAGCAGAATGAGCGGGACTCTCATCAATTGGGGTAGGCATCATATGACGTCCTTCCTGGATCGCACCTCGCGCGTGCCTGTGGGGTCGCACTGTGGTGAGATCTGTCACTGGCTGTGTACCGCAGACACTGCTGATGACAGATCTGTGATCTGGCCCTTTGTCACTACCATGTGACCTGCTGTGACCAATCACAGCGGGTCACATGACAATAGTAAACAATGGATGGCTTCCTTTCATGCCATCCATTGTAAACAATTGTGTCGCTAGCTGTGATTGGTTACAGTGATCAGATGTACAGACTGGACCAATCACAGCCCATATGTGTCATGTGATTAGCTGTGGCCAATCACAGCTAATCACAACAAAAACCTGAATGAATCTATTTCAGTTAAATAATTTCTTATAGCAAAGAAATTATTTGCTATAAGCAATCATAATATGTAAAAAAAAAATACTGATCACTTCCCCGAAGTAGTACAATGTTAGTAACATTATATTACCCTGGTTACAGTGTATTATGAAAAAAAATCTTAAAATATCGATGACTGCACTGGTGACAGTATGTAGAAAAAAAAAATTTGTGAAGTTTTTTTTTAATTACTTAATTTTCCAAAAATTATGACAAAAAAATTACAACTTCAAAAAACTCGCCAAACCTCTTACTAAATACCTCAGACTGTCTACTTTGCAGAAAGGGGTCATTTGGGGGATATCTGTACTATCCCGACATTTTGGGGCCTCAAGCAATTAGATTGGCCATCAGTATTTGAGGATTGAACGATTTTCAGATATATCCCATAGTTTGTGAACTCTATAACTTTCGTACAGACTAAATAATAAACAGTGACTTGGGTTATTTTCACCAAAGAAATGTAGCAGAATACATTTTGGCCTAAATTTATGAAGAACAATTATTTATTTGCAAACTTTTATAACAGAAACAAAGAGAAACTTGTATGAGATGTGTCATGTTCTCATCAAGAGTGCTTGACTATGCCTGCTCTTTCAGCCAACCTCCTGCATTCTAAAGCTTCCATGAGTGATAAGGGATTGATAAACAGAGGATGACCTTTGAAGCATTTGCTGGTCCGCCATCATAGATCATTTTTCAGTAGGAGGGAGAGAGCATTTTAAGATTAGTTAGGTTTATCTGGAAATTCTACTTTAATAGAACTGAGGGAACTGACAGGTGAGTTTCTGTCCTTTGTTCTGTTTTTTTTTGTTGACTAAACCCAATAACGTACCAGTACAGCAGGTTTGAGTAGTTATACCGGAGATTTGGCTGCAGCTGAATCCAGGACCCCAGTATCTTTTTTCTTTTTTTTTAACCAGCGATGGTAAATAAAGTAAAAGGAAAGTGATAGCCATAAAAGTGATTTAAAGAATAAAGAGACAATGTAAAAATAAAAAACCTAACTAAAATAAATAATACCATTTAAAAAAAATTTAAAGCACCCGTGTCCTCCTATGCTTGTGCGCAAAGGTTAACGCATACATAGGTTGCTATGGGTCTGATGCTGCCAGACCCTATTGCTATTTATTCTGGTCCTGACCCTGATCTTTCTCCTGCCTTGCTGCCTCTTTTTGCTCCCTGCATCTGCTGGTCACCTGATTGATCTGTGTTCCCCTTTGTGTGTTTAGTTAGTTTGTCAGATTGTCTATTCTATCAGGTTTCTAGTTAGGCATCTTGTCATTTTAGTTTTTGATTCTCATGTATTTTTGTCATTACTGTTTGCTGGTATGTGGTTGTCTTTTGTTCACTGTAAATAAATATTTTTCTAAATATGTATAAGGTCTGGTCCCAGTTACCTTGTGTACTGTAGCTACACAAATCTGGCCATCTCTGCCATTGTTCTAATCTACTTTGTTGTAAAAAAAAAAAAAAACTGGTATTTTACTTACCTGAATGAGTTATGCTGATTATATTTATTTTCTTGAGCTCTAGGCCTGATGATGAGGATGCCTACACTTTAAATTCAGTTTAATCTTCTTCATTTGTACCCCCTATAAAACTTTTTTATTCCATTTTAGTCAATTTAGTCTCATCAGTGACTGGTGTGTGCTTTTCCGTGTCATTCCTTGTCAATGGCACTCCAACACACGGTACAGTTGATGTCAACACACCGCAACACATGTACTGTATTCTGTGCTGTACTACACAGTGGTGCATGTAAAAAAAGGGTCATGTTCATTAATTAGTCTGTTGAAGTTAGTTGGCATCCAAATTATGAGTGAACCACTTTAATACAAAGCACCAGTGGCGGAACTGCCAGAGTCACAAAAGTCACAGTTACAACCAGGTCCTGGAGTTCTGCCACTGTGGGGGGGGGGGGCCCATTCGGGTTTCTGGCTGCAGGGCTCTGAGCTGAGTATCTCTCTCACACACAGCTCAGAGGCAGCAATGACAGTTCTCCCCCCTGCATGGACAGGAGAGGAGAGAGCTCATATGCCCCTCCTCCTCCTCTGTGGCCTCTGATGTAAGGGGGGCTGTGTGGACTCTGATGTAAGGGAGGCTTTGAGGACTTTGATGTAAGGGGGGCTGTGCAGGCTCTGATGTAAAGAGGGGCTGTGCAGGCTCTGATATAAGGGGGGGCTGTGCAGTCTCTGATGTAAGGGGGAGCTTGTGCAGGTTCTGATGTAAGGGGGGTCTGTGGACTCTGCTGTAAGGGGCCCTCTGTGGACTCTGCTGTAAGGGGCCCTCTGTGGACTCTGCTGTAAGGGGCCCTCTGTGGACTCTGATGTAAAGGAGAACTGTGCAAACTCTGATGTAATAGGGGCTCTGGGAACCCTGATTATGCTGGGAACTCTGATGTAAGTGGGGGCTCTGGTTAATCCATATGATTAGAAATGTTATTTAATCACAAAATGTATAAATGTAAAAAAAATAGCTGTGTGCTACTGAAGTGTTAGGGTTGAATAAAAGGTAGCAACTCTACCCAAGACAGCAGAAAGAGGGCCCACTGCAAAATATTTTAAAGGGTCCCATGATAGGAGAAGGGGCCCCGGGCTCGGAAGGAAGGGGATGGTTCCTTGCACCAGGGCCCTATCTATTTACTCCTCTGTAAGGCACGCTTGCCTTAATGCACTGCCACAGACCGCATTGATGTACTGTAAATAGGCCAAAAGATATGAATTGTTTGATCTTCTTATGCTCTACAATAGTGAAAAAAATCTGTATGGGCTGGAATTGTACATTAAATTGAGTACCAGTAAAGCTGCTGAAATAATGGACTTGATTTGCAGCAGTTTACAACTGTACTACAGTACAATGATATGACAAGTCTAGTGAAGTCTATGAATAATGTTACATAGGGGTTGAGTTGTTTTATCTGTTGTGTACATGGCTCTAAGCTATGCAGATTTCTGTGAGATGGTCAGTTTTTTTGTTTTTAAATGCACCAAAATTATTTTCCACCGCGAATTACTGTACAACTACAAAATGAATTTATAAAAAACCATTATGCAAGATTTACATTTGGGGCCTGATCACACACTAGGACGTAATGTGCAATGTGGGAATTGCACTGCTCTTGCGATCTGCAGTGGATATCAGTGCAAAGTTAATGACACCCCAAACGTAGGTCACAAAAGCAGTGTGTCTGGCCACACTGAATCACATGGTACCAAAGTATCATGCCATCTGGTTGCAGTGTGTTTCCAAGGGTAGTGCATTCACTACATTAGGTGCGGTGCGTTGCAGTGCAATTTCAGCCCATTCAAAAAACATGGGCTGAAATCACACTGCACCAAACTGCGTATGAATCACACAGACATTTTTGCACATTCCTGTGTGATTCACATGCAGTTCCTAGTGTGAATGGGCCCTAAAGCAGTTTTTGACATGATTACATTTTTATTTACATATTGTTTAATATTTTGATTTTACACAGGCTTGTAAAAGCTCTTTACCACTATAGGCTCTGCTTTCCGCTTTGCAGTACAGCCTGATGGTTGGGTTTTACTGCTCTTTCTCACATAGTAGGTCTATGAGTCACCCAACTCATTGTAAACAGTGGTCTCCCTGTATTGCTGATATTTAACAAGCAGTTGGGGCAGAGTCTTAAATTTTGGTGAAAATTTGGAGATTTAGGACATTTTCATAATTTTGGCAAAAGGCATTGGAGTCAATGCTGAAGGAGAAATTAAAGTGGCTTGTGGTGTTTTTTAAGGGTGCCGTGAGCATTAAATGGGCACCCTTATTATTTGTTAATCACAGAAAGGAAAAACAAAGAAAAGTGCCAGCTTTAAAATAAAGATCAAATAAAAAATGAAGAAATACAAAACATTAATGAAAGAAACTAAACTACCAAAAAACACACCCCACCCATCCCCCTAAAAAACCTGAAACAAATTTATCTGCATTGTCTTTTTGACAAATTTATCTGCATTGAATTCTTGTAAACAGTAACAGATTTTTTTTTTTTATCTCTTTTCAGAAACATTGGCAAAATGTGTCCAAAATCTCTTCTTCTGGTATTTGGGTTCGTCCTGACCCTGTCCCATCTGTCCTCATCTCAGAACTGGGCAACTTTTCAGAAGAAGCACATTGTAGGCACACACCGAGCATCAACTGTAACAACGTCATGAACAACAGTTTATTTATCATAGCAGGTCACTGCAAACCACTGAACACCTTCATCGTTTCAAACACAGCCACCGTGAAGGCCATCTGTAGCAGGGTGGCAGGTGAACGTATTGTGTTAAGTAGCACAAGTTTCCAGCTCATCATTTGCACTCGTAGATCCGATGTGACCCCACCTTGTCCCTATTACTCCAATACTCAAAGTAATGTGATATGTGTAATTTGTTCGAATGGATTTCCTGTACATTTTGTTGGAGTAGGAAAATGTTAACCACCTGTATACCACCAAGCTACACCCCCTTCCTTTTTTTAGTTTTGACTGCTGTCAAAGTTTGACTGGCAATTACTTGGTCACACATCACTTTACCCTTAATCATTTTATATTATTTTTTTTTTATTACCAGACAGAGCTTTCTCTTGATGTTATGTGTTCACCATTGCTTTTTTTTAATCTTTTCCTATGAAAAAAGGCTACAATTGTGAAAAACAAATTGTTTCTCTTACTTTCTGACATGAAAAAAAAATATCCAATAAATGATCTTTCTTCTTAAAATCATGCCAAATGTATTCTGATGCATTTATTGGATAAAAAATAGAACAATACGTGTTTATTATTTACACTGTAAGAAAGCCTGCAAACTGGTATGTACATTTCAAATGTATGAATCCTTATGTTCTGACTGCCAATTCTTTGGCCCTAAAATGTCATACAAACACCCCCAAAATAACTTTTTCATAAAATAAGTACCCCAAGGTATACGGTAAAAGTCATGGTGAGTATTAAAAATATCTCATTTTGACTACAATTTTTTTTAAAGTATGAGTAATAAACGATGCTGTGCTACCTAGTAGTGAAAAAATCAATAGCAAAATAAATAGATCTATGCGAATAAGAAACATGAAAACTGCATAACCATAAATGTTCACACCATTGAATCATAAAAAGTGTTCCTAGTATAACAATATTCAAAACCTACTTATTCTCTTGGAAAATTGCTCAGCAATCAAAAACTATTTAAAACACAAATATAAATGTCCCTCATTAATAAAATTTCCTAATATTCATTCTTCAAAAGAATTCACCTCATGATCTCTTCTAAAAATATTACTAAATCATCTTCCTTCTTCACCTCTACCAATATAGCCAGTTAACCCCACCACCGTTTATGCAATGCTCTCACCTCCATACATTGACCCAATAAATATCAGGTCCAGTAGCACTTTTCCTTTATGGGATTACCATAATCTTTCATGTCTTCTCCCCGTCTCCTGACACGAAGGTTGCTGTATAATGGATACTTCACTCCAATTTCCTCCAACACATCTGCTTCATACACTCCACATGTGTATGTCCCTTTAAGGGATCAGAGTTCCCCACTGCAACTTTGTAATGTAACAGAGTTGTAAACATAAACCAGTATTTATTCATGCAATTGCACTCACTGTACAATTTAAAGTTTAAAACTGCATATGTAAAAACAATCCTATTAGCACATAGACTAGCAGCTCCCACCTGCACTTTCGGTTGCGGAAATGACATCAGTTGACTCGGCCCTTACACATATCGTCATGACCCACATGACTTCTTCAGAGGATCGAGGCCGGATGCACTATGATGTGTTATATTGAGTGACTGTTTACAATTGCCATAGAAACAAGTGATCATTATGTGAAGTATATAAAGACCCTCACTGTGCCACATCCCAAATATTGTACAAATGTATTTGAAACAATGTTACCAAAAAAGAAAGGCAGACTTTATCGGCACAACATGAGGCAACTTCATTTTTTTTTATATTACAAATTTTATTTCCACAAAAAATAAACAAATATTTTATATATATATATATATATATACACACACACACACATACACACACACACACACTATATTGTTAAAAGTATTAGGACACCCCTCCAAATCATTGCATTCAGGTGTTCCAATCACCTCCATGACCACAGGTGTATAAAATCAAGCACCTAGGCATGCAGACTGCTTCTACAAGCATTTGTGAAAGAATATGTCGTTGTCAGGAGCTCAGTGAATTCAAGCGTGGTACCGGGATCGTTTGCCACCTGTGCAATAAGTCGATCCGTGAAATTTGCTTGCTACTAAATATTCCAGTCAACTGTTGGTGGTAATATAACAAAGCAGCTGGGAAAAACAGCAATTCAGCCACGAAGTGGTAATGACAGATCGGGGTCAGCACATACTGAAGCACACAGTGTGCAGAAGTCACCAACTGTCTGCAGAATCAATAACTAAAGACCGCCAAACTTTGTGTGGCCTTCAGATTAGCACAACAACAGTGCATAGAGAGCTTCATGGAATGGGTTTCCATGGATGAGCAGCAGCATCCAAGCCTTACTTTACCAAGTGCAATGCAAAGCGTTGGATGCAGTGATGTAAAGAACGCCGCCACTGGACTCTATAGCAGTGGAGACGTCTTCTCTGGAGTGAAGAATCAGGCTTCTCTGTCTGGCAATCCGACTGGATGTGTCTGGGTTTGGCAGTTGCCAGAACGGTACTTGCCTGACTGCATTGTGCCAAGTGTAAAGTTTGGTGGAGGAGGGATTATGTTGTGGGGTTGTTTTTCAGGAGTTGGGCTTGACCCCTTAGTTTCAGTTAAGGCAAGTCTTAAGGCGTCAGCCTTACAAGACAATTTGGACAATTTCATGCTCCCAACTTTATGGGAACATTTTGGGGATGGCCCGTTCCTGTTCCAACATGACTGCACACCAGTGTACAAAGCAAGGTCCATAAAGACATGGATGAACGAGTTTGAGGTGGAAGAACTTGACTGGCCTGCACAGAGTCCTGAACTCAACCCAATAAAACACCTTTAGGATGAATTAGAGCGGAGACTGAGAGCCAGGCCTTCTCGTCTGACATCAGTGCCTGACCTCACAAATGCGCTTCTGGAAGAATGGTCAAACATTCCCATAGACACACTCCTAAACCTTAAGGACACTTCCCAGAAGAGTTGAAGCTGTTATAGCTGCAAAGGGTGGGCCAACACAATATTGAACCCTATGGACTAAGACTGAGATGCCATTAAAGTTCATGTGTGTGTAAAGGCAGGCGTCCCAATACTTTTGGCAATATAGTGTATATACCACCTGGAATAATACACATTACACTGTCTATCATGTTGTATTTTGAAGCTTATACAGTTGATTCCACGAGATCTGAATCTTTATAGTATGTGGTCCTCCTACTAGTCCGTCTGGGGTCCGTCCCTGGGGTGTTTCTTTTCCTCTCCTTGTATGCTCCTGCATCCGCCCCCCAGGACCTTTTAAACCATCTTCTACACATGTCCTAATCAGTCAAGTATGCTATGCACATTTCAAATATGTAAAATTCAAAATGATATAAAACAATTTGTATATATTGTACTTATATTACTGTTGTATCCTACAGCTTACAGCAACACCTAATAAACCAAAGCAACAGGAGGGAAACAGTAATATTAATATATCAGCCTAATCACTTGTTAAGCGTTGCCGTAGTAACCAAAAAATTAGCCAACAAAACAAGGAGGTCCCAACCAATGGGGTAAAGCCCTCTGGATGGGCAAAACACAGGTACATTAATGGAGGCTATTCATAGAAAACCTATGTAATTTTATTTAGTATCAAAAGAATAAAAATTCTACAAATGCGCTCAATTCAGAAACACACAGTGTTTAATAACCCATAGTGCGCACAGCACCAAAAAGCACATTAAAAACCAATATCATAGATGTCCGGACGTCAATTGAATATATGAGTTGCAAAAACCCAACACGGGCAAATAGCCGCATTATAATTACCCAGTTATTCTCTAGCTGGTAGTGCAACACATATACATCCCCCAGAGGAAGCTACGAGTCCCTGTAGTGTAACGCGTAGGGGAGGGGCGGTGATGTCATCACGCATCCACAGAGGAACGGCGAGTATACTCAATGAAGACAAACACACCTGCAAGGCTGTTTGTAGTAGGATCTGGATACATTTTATACAAAGCGCTACATTTGTTTATACCATGTGAGTGGGAGATCAAAGCTTAATAAACAACCATTATCTCGGATAAGACACTATGTTCCTTTTCCCTTCTCTGTATGTATCGTATATGGAGGAATAAGCCAAGCAGCCAGTGGAGAAAGTCCTATTGAGAAGGCTGTGTTGAGGAGAGAGGAGAGGAGAAAGGAGAGAGAGGTTCACACCGTGAACACTGACTCATCACACAGATTAGATTGAACTACAATACCATCTCTATTCTTATGAACTGAACTGTTATTCCCATACTTATATATATTTTTTATATACAATTTTTTTTTTTTTCAACAATATATATATTTTTTTGCACTTTTATTTTTTAATTAATTTGTTTTTTTTATATTTATTATTTATATTAATTATGGATTGAAGTATAATTGATTTAGTTAAGTATCGAATTATTGGTGATACACTCAGCAATTTACAATATCACAAAAAAAATTTATAACATCACTCATAGTTGTATATATTGGAGCGCGGTACAATATTGATATTTAAAGTTAACACCTATACACCTGGAGAGGGTGTAATAAGTACCTGGCGATCTAATATAATATAATATAACATTTTATATAATTTATTTAAGCACGTAATTAATTAATTATTAATACTTTAGTTGTTCACATATATATTATTCATATTACTTTTTATGCACGTAATTAATTGTTTTGAGAGTAAGAAAAACTTCTAGTGGCTCACAAGTATTTATTTAATTTGTATTACATATATGCCCCAGGGCTACAACAAGCCATCTGTTAAGGCCGTCATGTGACATCACCTTACCACGCCCCCAATGCACGAGCACCATGGCGGCAGACCATGAGGAACAGGAGCAGCAGTTAGTGGATGGCATCGCATACTGGGGGCTGTAATCTAAGCCGTGATCTAATGGCAAGTAACTGAGAGATGGAAGAATGCCAAGTGCTGTAAGATACATGCACTGACATGAGCACCACATCTTTGAATAGGATGGAGAGTCCAGCTGGAGAGATGAACACGGTAACACCTGACTGAATTGTTGACGGAAGTTTAAAAGCATTGGACACTGACAGCCCTGCTCCCCAAATGGACTATTGTTGAATAGGGATGAGCTATGGTGGAAGGGCAGGTTGACATGATGTACTTTATACTGCTGAATGATACCTGCTCGGCTGTTTATAGCAATTGAACTGCTTTCATCTTTCAGTATCTTCCATCTATTACATCCTTTGGCTTGCTTAACTTGTTCTCTCT